GTGGGGAGGAGGGGGGGTGGAGGGTGTTACTTCTGCTAGTTAGTGCAGAACGTACTGAAGCCCTGGATCGCAACGTCAGGCCCCTTCTTTTCGTTACACCGTGGAGGGGAGACTAAAGGAAGACCGTCTTAGATGTGGTATGTGTAGTCGGGTAACTTGTCGGATAGTTACCGGTCGGATATGTTGTGTACTCTCGTCTAAAATGAGTACACACACAACATTGAACTTATATATAAATAAGGGGACTGGCGTGTGTGTCCGTACCGATTGAGGTGACCCCTTTCCCCCCTGTACAGGGGCGTGAAAAGCTTTAGGGCAAACACAGGAGGGTGAAATGTTTATACAAATAATAATAAAAAATTGCGTTGGGCAGTAGCGGTCCTCCTCGTGTGTCGGAGACACTCGCTCGCTCTCTATGCCTCTCTCTCTCTCTCTCTCTCTCTCTCTCTCGTCCCTCTCGTGTTAAATAGATAAATTATTCATTCATTCTTCAGTAAGGTCACCACCATGATATTCCTGTCATGTTTTTTTGTCAATTTTCGCCCTCACTAATCATTTTATACGTATTTATTATTTTCTTTCTTTACGATTAATCCATTGTATTATATTTTTCTGTATTTGGTCAAATTCTACTAAACAATAACCAACACTATTATAAGATCTTCTACTACCTCATACTTTTCATATGTCGAGGGAAATATACTCACAACTTCGGCGATAGGTATGGTAGTAAAACATGAGTTTCACGTTCGTCCTAACCACGTAAAGTGAAGGTTTGTAATTTTTTTTTAGAAAATCTTCCTGCACTCTTGGGGGATCTTTACGACTCTGCAGGGGACCTCTACACTCCAGGTGGGGGTTTATTTCGTCCATTTTAATAATTTAACGTATTAAAAGAAAATCATTTGGTGGACTTTTTCCCAGGGTGTTTTGGGTTTGTTCGTGTGTTTCCAATTCCATTCGTATATTTATTATATTTTTATTTTATTATGTGGAGTTTTTTTGTTTTTTCTCCTCCATTTCTCATCGGGCTGACCGAAATGAAACTTTCATCGGGAGTAGGATTTTTCCAACCACTGGGGACCATATCCATTCTGCAAGTTCGTCTACCAGGTGTATGTTTTCTCTCTAAGGGTGTGTTTATGTCAGTTGGAGTCCCCTTTTTGTTGAGGGTGTGTATGTACGAAGTCGTATGGGCTGTGTAGAAACCGGGCACGCATTTCTTCACTAAACAAAAAGCGTCTGCTAGACAACTATTCTAACGGAGTGTATGGCACAATATATGTGACCAACCTCAGAGGGTCTGTTGGGTGGCGGCAGTATAAAGTGAAGGAGATAGAAACGTAAATAGTCCAGTCACACCAACCGTCATGAGGAGAGTGTCGGAGACAACAACACCTCAATCTACTCCATGGTGTGAAGACAGTGTAAACGTGGAAACAAGACTGTCTCCCCGTAAACCGGTCTTGAAAAGGGAAGGACTCCATACTTCTTGACGGTAACAACAAAGGGGAGAGGGGGGCAAGAGTGGGAAGTCCTGTAAAGGAGCATAGGGTCCAATTTCAGGACAAAAAACGGGGGAATAGTGGTCCATGTGGTTGGGGTCTCACGGCTCCTTCATGTGAAGCTATACAACAACACGCTATGCTTCGACTGGGCTACGAACGGCCACAGACTTTATGCGTGTATGAGTGCCTACGTATTTAGTGTATTAGAGCTAAGTCTACAGTACACTCATCTTGCCAACACTTTCTCCTATGATTTTACTATCGGAAAACCCGACAAGAAAAAAAGACATAGGCTAGACTAGGGGAAATGTTGGAAAAATTTCTCCGCTAAGGTGGTAAACCTTCTCGCGTCTGCTGTCCCCCACTTTTTCGTTTCCTGCGTCCTTAGATTAGCAATAGTCAGAGTCGTTTTGGGTCCTCCGTATCTTCAGTTAACCCGGCGCTACTCGCTGTTACGATAGTCGTCCCACGTTATTCGGTTACGCCCATGTAATGGGAAGTGAACGACCTCGTTCAATCGTGCTGACCAACGGAAGAGTTCACACTCGGAATACCACCTTACATTACTTCCCGTTAGACTTGTCGAGTATGCGAGTGACGATGTGGGTGGCTATGACATCGTTCGTGTGTGTATCTCATAAAAATTTAAGCATTTGGACGATGGAAGAGTAACGTGTTTTATTTTGTACATGGGACAGTCGAGTATCAAACCTGAGTTTTACGTAAACACTATGACCTTGACAACAAACCCACTTGTTGTTTTGCAACAGAGGCAGAACTAACTGTTTATAACTGAACTTTAGTTTCGATTCTTAGCAAAGTGGCAAATATTCTAGAGGAGAGCTAGCTCCTGTGGTTACGGGTTGTCCCTCTTTTTTGGAATAAAAACAAAACAAACCAAAATAGAAATGACTACCTTTTTGCATAAACAATATTGACATTCTAAGTACACATAATCTCGTTTAATACAAATAGAGAGTCAGATCTATGAACTTCACCCGACACAAAAAATGTGCCATTCATCGGTTCTGATTCGAAGAAGGCATCTGGGTTCCCTCGACCCGAAACGAATTATCTCCGGTTTAGTCGTATTAGCTAGGTGTTCGTCGTCAGGATTCCATCACTAATGTAAGCTCAACAAAACAGGAGGAGTCATCGAATCAAACAATGTATTCCAAATGTCCTGTATGGATATTCTACAGATCCTATAGTAATTACCGAAAAACACACAAATGCTATGCATGCTATTATGAAATAACCAGTCTAGTCGACTTTAAGACTGAACGTATAGAGTTGTAGTAAGTAGATAGAGTTCGCTATGATTTAGGTTTCGTTTATGCATAGAGTAGATTATTTTAATTACATTTCCTTTTTTGTTTTGGATTTGCTTGGCGAGCTATTTTTAGAACATGCCCGGCGGGCGACTCACGTTGCCCCTGCGGGCGACTGAGTGCCCGCGGGCACCGTGTTGGCTACCCCTGCTCTATACTATCAAACCTAAACTCCCTCACTGCCCCACTTTAACATTACTCCATCCTCACAGTCTAATACCTTCATAAGTGTGCCAGGTAGATCAAGAACCAAACACAATTTTTACAATAAGATGTCAGACAACCAGACAACTAAAAATATCAAAACATAATAGTGACTATATAGCTTATCCAAACAATCCACATCTCTTGCATGTTGTAGACAATCGCTCGCCCAGCACGCAGACGAGGGGTATAAACCAGAGCCTGCTGAGCCAGGACTGATTAGTTAGTCTGGGGACGGCGTGGGCATCTCACACCGTCAACACTGGGAGATTTACAATCCCTTGTTTACAGATTAAAGTACTTACCAGTTCATTTCAGAGGAAGCATTAGTTCAGGTCGGTAATAAACAAAAAAAAAAACTATAAAATGGAAATCACAAGAGAAAGGAGAAACCTGTGCAGAAAAAAAAGCATTCCTTGTTTGCTTGGTAAGCTCCAGACACATTTATCCCTGTAGTTTGAAATGCTAATCTACTCAGGGAAGGCTTTTTATGTAACAAATAACACTGAACAATTTAAAGAAAACCTACATGTATTAATATATGTACAGGCCACATGATTTATAATGGTGTGCCGATAACCAAAACAAAATGCTTTCCGAAGCGTCCCTATACTGTATTTAACATGCAAAAAAGGGCATTAAATATATATAAGTGTTTGTATTGAAAATAAATTGAATAGAATTTGAAATTTAAAAGCAATAAAGCAGAAGCATATTGAAAGCCCAGTAATCAAAACCCCAGAAAACCCAGTAGTAGCTCAAGAGAAATGAAATATATATTAAAGGTTTCCCATTTATATTGTAAAAACCCTTGCAAAACAGCACCTGGATCTAAAGGACAAAACAAATCAATCACCCATGCAGTTACTCATTGAATATGTTTTGTATACAAAGGAAACACATGGCGGCTTATTCCATCTATAAAAAGTACTACATGGTTTTCATTCACAGTGGGTGATTAAACACATTCCAATCTGTAGAAAAATAAAGCTAAAGTCATCATAATGACGCAAGTCATTTAAAGGCTGCTTTCTTTGGTATTGGGGGGGACTTTTGTTGTTGTAACTGGGAGTTCAGCAAGCTGACTTCCTGTTGTAAATCCCCCTTCATGCAGTGGCTTCCTGTTAAGAGTAACATAGCTAGGAAGATGGATTTCCCCAAACATAGGTCTCAACAATTATAAAGAAGCAAAGAGGTTTCTGAGTTTGGACTCAAATCAATTGCTGAGATGATGGAAATCAAGACACTTATTGTGATGATAAATCAAATCGAAGTTTGAATAAAAAGAAGCCCAAGACAAAACACTCTGTCAAAACTCTTACTATTTCAAACTTTCTGTAATTCTAAATAGGGCTTTAATAAATTACAAATTGAAGTCGCTATACGGACCAGTGCAATGACCAAATTGCAAGAGTTGCAATATTTGTATATGTCAAAATATCCTTTTGAAAGTATTTATGTGCTTTAATAATGTCCCGGATACATATAAAATTCTACAAGTTTACGAAAAAAATATTTGCACGGTACAGTACAGATCAAACTATGATCATTATAATATATGTAGTTCCAGTAATCCAAAATTCGGCTCACAGATAGCAAATAAGCTTGACTCGGACAAAATACGTCTCAGGATAGTT